TTTGTCAGACATTTCTGATGGTCAAACCTTTCCCAAGGCACTGGGCCTCTCAATGGCTGTTGCGGAAGCTTCTGAGCACCCTTCAGACTATTCCAATATTCCAATATATGTGCCAAGATATGTTACAGCGCCGCCAAAAATCTGAAGGTAGAACTGAAACTCAGATACGGAACTGAACCTCAACTTTTAAGAGTGGTGTTGAAAGCTAGGGTCTAATAAATTTAGTCTAATAACATTGAACCATCCTTCCCAATGGTTATTTTGTATCTTTTATTTTCCTTATTTTTTTTTTTTTCTGGTGTACTCATGCTTTTTTAAATTCTTTAAGTGGGCACAAGTTTGGAAAATATAGAACATATCACCATACGAGGAAACAAAGTACCCACACTATTATAGTTTGAAAGAAAAGGGCAGGAGATGCCCACAAAAAAACACAAGGTAGAGAAAACAGATAGGAATAGTTCCCTTTACATATTTGCCAATGAAACTGATAATAAAAAACATACAGGCAATGATATGTGTTACAAGGCTCTGATATCAAAAATATTATCAACATTTATGTCGAGATTTATTTAGCTGTCTATAGAATTATGAACCAAGGTCTTCAATCTATCCACTGATCATTGCCCATAACCTTGCGAACCAGTATCTCATCCAGCCCACCATCATAAAACTTCAGGCCACCAGTGTAATCTTATAAAGTAGATTCTGGGATTGGAATGGAAATCTATTAAGAGGATGGCACAATAAAAACAGAAAACCCCTGCTAGCAGAGCTCTAGCTTCTTTCTAGGGTAGAATTTTAGCCACTTGAGTTAGGCTGTTTATGGCAATCATTTTTTTCTGAGATCACATAAGGAACAGCACAAGTAGTCTCCAAAGATGACCATTTAATAAGCTGTACTATACTTTTTCTTTGTACTTTACCTTTTACCTTTGGGGTCTGCTCCTTATATTTTAATGTTTAAAATCTGCACTATTGTACGGTATATTAGGGGACATTTTATTTTGTATTATACATGTGCAACACAATTAAAAGTTAAATAAAACTTATTATATAATAAGCTTATTATAAAAATGCAGTGTCATCTATAAGCATGGCTCACTTCTCACCATTTGGAATTGTAAGCACTGTAGATATAAAGATTACTAAAGTTGAGCTGAGATAAAAAAAAGTTCTAAAATATTGTAATTCCTGCAATTCTACAATGATATAGTACTGACTATTTAAAAGGATGCTTTAAAAGACAACTCTCAACGAAAATGTAATCGAACTGTGCTGGGAGTGAAGCAGGAAAGCTTGTGGTAACTACATGCACCTTGGGTCAAACGCCGTCTGACCCAAGGTGCATGTATATATGGCTGAAGAATCCTGTCATATACTAAAGATAGGATTGAGGTTTTTTCGTATACTTTATTTTATTTTTTTTCAAAATGTAGTTAAACTAATAAAAATAATTTTGCGAAAGAACAGAGCCAGCCACTAAAGGAAGCAATCAAACATGCTGGGAGCGTTCGAGAGAAATTTAATTGCACCAAATAAGCCCCTAACTCACCTAAAAACTACCCTGCCACTATGGAAAAGAAGTCTAAACTACAAAGGAGCAAAATGGCTTCCTCTTCCGAGGATATTGGCGCTATGCTCCGAGTTACACTGCTGCATCGGCCTCCTAAAATGGCGGGAAGATTCAGACCTCGCATCGAAGGTGAGTGACCAAGGCGACTCTAGACATTATGCTGAGCGAGCGTAACCAAGTAAGAACCTAACTCTCACTTATTGTGACCCTGTGCCCACACAGGCGAGTCCTGAGACCTGTCTGTGACGGAGCTCCAGTACTCCGACTGAGTACCTCCGCCAAGTCTGCTTCCTTGTAGCTATCAGGGTCCCTGGAGTACTTAAGACCCTGTCACCGAGGCTTGACTGGGATCACTGAGGGCCTTTTCCACCCTGTACCAAACACCAGACGACACATGGCGAAGGTTAAAACAGCAACTAACTTTAATAGACATAGCACACACATTTAAGCACCCAACAGCCTCATTTACATACAATAGGGTACATAGAGCTCTATAGTACATGGAAGGGTGGGGTCAGACAAGGGCTGATGGGAGATTGAGGAGGGACATAGCATCTAGTTTAAACTGGTCTGTCAATGTCCCTGGCACAACTCCCTGCTGGGGAAACAATAGGGCAGGTAAAAGGAGGAGGAGAGAGGGACAGACAAGCAATACAATCAACATACCCTGCACCAATAATGGGAACAGGGTGACCAAAACACAAAAAGGAATCTGGGGACCCACACATAGTGTCTGTCTTCCATCCCCAGAGACGGTGACTACCATCACACCGTCCAGAGCACATTCCCGCCAGTAAAGTTGATGTACAAAACTTGCTGGTAGAGAGGAAGGCCTTTTGCTCATCTGACATTGCACTGATCCGGGAAGACATGAGAGTCATGATGGCGTGAATGCCACTGCTGGAGGATGATGGCCACACAACCAGAGGCAAACAAGAGGATCCGAGAGCTGAGGTGGACAAACTAACCAAGTTCACTAAGGAGGGCAGGCTAGCTGTCCTGGAGGAAGCTAGGCGGCAACGTAATCTGCGGGTCTGTGGTCTCCCGGAGAATATCAAGGAAAATGAGGTACTTCACTACCTTTGCAGAATGTTGTACTCTGTCCTATCTACAGCCAAAGCCATGCCACTGGACTATTACTATCAGGTCCCTAAATTACCTAAAGCCCCATCTCGGTTCCGAGGGACTTATTGCTATGCTTCCAGTCACTTCAAAGTAAACAGCTCATATTGGCCATGATTTTGACACAGATCTCTGAGACCTCTCTATCTTCAATGACCTATCCAGGTCTACAATGATCTGGAGACACTCCATGCAACTGGTGACTAAGCTGCTGAAAGTAAAAGAAATCAGGTACCGCTGGACAAACATAAACCATAATACACTCATAGAACTGATGTGCAACCTCATGCATCCTACACTATTCAGCCTTTCTATCCCAAGCCACAACGATCAGTTTAGGTGCAGATATCTTCAGGTACTTGAGCCCTGCTGAAAGCAATGGCCACCTCACACTCCACTTCACGCTATGTCTATGATTATTCTGATGGTTTTCTTTTTTATGCATGCTTAATAATTTGTGTTTTTTACGTTTTTTGCAACCTGTTCTTTTTTGCTGACCTAAGTCAGAGGACACTGACACCTCATTCTCGTTGGAAGTGGTGGTTACAAGCTTCACTTCTTTGCTACATAATGCCATGTCATTACTACTTATGTTAGTTTTTCCATTTTCGTATGTTTATCATTTTCAATTTAAACATTTTCATTACATTTGAAGATTTACGCCAGGTGACTAATGATTACAAGTCTTAATCTTAGGCTGTTTCATATTGTACCTTGATGTACTCTCTCGTGAATCCAGTACCCTCCCAAGTGAAGTGATTCTAGTTCTATGGGTCTACCTACCTTACTTTAAAAAATGCAAATAGCTTTAGCTGCAGTTCTGCCAGAAGGGAACCTGTGTATTGCTGCTTGACACGTATCTGCTGTATATGTCTGCCTTTCCTTTTGCATGCACTTTGAATGTAGCCTATTACCCTTTTACCTATATGTAAGATTATTTGTATGCTACAAAACAAATTATACATTACAAAAAATAGTTTTGAGGTGACATATGTCCTTTAATACTGATTTTCTTTTACATATCTACTTCTGTAATTCTCTTTGGTGTTCACAAGCTCATCTTCACCACTATATTAAGTCACTAGGTGAGACGGGGAGAAAATTGTATATACTACAATTACATGTATGTCTGCAATTCAATATAGCTTTCAGCTAGGAAGAAAACAAAAACAAGAAGGTTAGCAAGTAAGTAAGAAATATTTCTGCTTCACATCTCGCATTGTCTACCTGTGGTATTAACATACACTATGTACACATTATCCTTGTAATATACTAATTGTATATACTATAAATACTACTAGAGTATTAACATTCACTACTGATTTCAAGATCATTTTAAAGAACTATTAAAGTATTAAAATAGGAAAATAAGGAAATCTAAAATAGCAATTTAGTTACTGGAGTTATTTACTAAAACAAAAAATTTAAATAAATATTTATTTAAAACATGGGTTAGATGTGTAGCAATGCAGAATTAAACCTATTTGTGTATTGACAGAGGTTCGTAGTGAAGGATTAACAATATATTGTTTATATATGGAGTCGATGAATATCATATTGATTTTCATTAACATTCACTAAAATTTTACTTATTGGCTATTGGCAGGAAGAAATTACTTTGTTTGTGTATGTACAAATACAAACTTTATCTTTCTTCCAAATTTGCTAACCTATTTTGAAAACTCTAAAATCAAATCATGAGAGTGAGAATTATAATTTTCAAGTTCAGAATGTAACAATTTTACCTGAATTATTATCATGTGTGTTGTGTAAAATGAATTTAATAAAATAGAAGATGCTGTCATTGCCCTTTGGAAAAGTCAGGCAATGTTGAATCACATCAACATTTATCAAGAAATAGCAATTTGACTATACCATATAGAACATATAATGAAACCCATCTGAGATTTACAAGTGATACCGCCATATAATGTTACCTGTAGATAACACGGATTGATTTGATTCAAAAGGAAATTAAGATAAATATGTGACATAGTTTGAGATGACTGTATGAAGATCTTTCAATTTTCTTTTGTGTGAATTTATTTTGTAAAAGGATAACCCAATGTACTCGCCCCTCTGCTTTGTTTACCTTATCCGATATGGAAAGACAAATGACAGCATAATAAATCTTAAAATGGAAATGATACAGTTACAATAAGAGAGAAGGTAACATTACACTGTAAAAATAATAAAAGTACAGAGTTTCTAGCTTCACTTGTTTTATAGATTTAAAGATTAAACACGAGGAAGTGGAAACCAAGATCGGGACCTCATCCCATGTAGGCTATCCTCAGGAATTCCTAAATACCAGAGAATGTATTATTTTTATTATTATCATCATTATTATTATTTATATAGTGCCAACATGTTCCGCAGTGCTTGACAATTAAAGAATTGGGATAATTGACAACAAGTAAGTGACATACAGTACATTAGGAGAGACAAGAGACTATGAAGGCCTTAGTTAAACGAGTTTACAATCTATGAGGAAGTGATAAACATGTAAAAGAGGAGGGATTGATTGATAAGGTGCCTGGGTCAAAGTCAGATAGTAGAAGTCGTGTCCGGTATAACCAAACAATGGAAGTAGAGAGATTTAGCTGGGCTATGGAAGCAAGGTAACTATGGAGGGAAATTGAGAAAAGCTTCACCCAAGATGATGGTAGGATTTCCTAAAGTGGTTGGTTTTTAGTGACTTCTTAAAAGGCTGGGGGCTAGATTTATTCAACAGACCCTCCTATCGCCAAACTTCTAATGCTGAATTTGCTAGTAGGCAGCTTCCCACAGGAGCCTGTCTACTCAGATCCTATAATGTAAGGTAACGTATTTTAAAGGTTTAGCTTTTCTGAAGAGACACTCATGTGTGCCCTTTAAAGTCTGGAGCAGTAGATTTTTGCTAAAGTATAGTAGAACCTGATAATTCTGTGCCTGCAGACACCTAAAGTGTAAATGTGGCTCTGCATACGCACTGTGCATGAAAAGTTAATGGACTTAGTGGGGGGGATGGGCATACTTATGTTTTCTCCCCCTGAGATATTACTTAAATAAAGTTCTGGTTACCCAGCCCCACCTGCTTATAAAAAAAACTTAGAAATTATACACTTCAGCCAGAGGTATGTTGAAAAAAAAGAAAGAGATTTACACACTCTGCGTCATAATTAAATTAACACTTTAGTGTTAGGAATAGAAAGATGTATTCTTAATACTAAAGTGTCCCTCTGCACCCACACTTCCCCTAGTCCAGGAAAGTGTTAAAAAATAATTTCAGTCACTTACCTGATTTCAGTTCCGAAGTACCGAGTCGTGCTCCTCATCCACCGACTTCAGCCCACACACACATTAGGCCTTCCCAATAGGAAAGCATTGACACAATGCTTTCCTATGTAGATTTTGAGGACTCTGAACAACCTCATGCAAATCGTGAGGGCGTCCAGTGTTGTTTCATGGAGTCTGTGAAACTGCAGGAAGCACCTCTAGTGGCTGTCAGGTAGATAGCCACTAGACACAGGCTTAATACTGCAATGTAAACATTGCAGTTTCTCTAAAAGGGGGCAGGGACCGTGCACCCAGACAACTTCAATAAGATGAGGTGGTCGGATTCCTCCTATATTGTTCCTTTGAGGGTTCACATGATTCCTTGGGTTAGAACTTTAGTTATTTTATGTATTTAAGCAGACAGTATTTTAACAGTAGTAATGAGAGTCTCCCTGTTGTAAATGATGTTGGGGACATAGATACATAGGTTGAAAACACTCTCCACAAGTCCATTAAGCCCAACTTTTGACATATTTGTTCTGCTGTTAAGTTGAAAACATAGTTTGAGGTGATTTCCAGTTGCGTGGGGGAAATAAATATTTCATTTGATAATAATAATGGTCATCTGATTTCTCCTTTGACCAGTAATTTCATAGAGAAGGAATATTGCCCCACTAAACTAAGTAATAAATCTATGAGCATCTACAAATCCCAATGATAAAATTCAAAGATATATAGAGACATCACAACCTAGATGTAAATGTAATGTTCCCTTACTGTAGCATGGAACACAGCATCAATATAATCTAATCAATGAGGTTTTGAAAATACAGACTAAAATGAGCGCTCAAGCTTTTCTACTTCATTTAGACTTACCAACGGAAGTCAAGCAAAAAACGTTTCTTATAATACACATAATCATGGCTGCTAAAATATGTATGGCACAATACTAGAGACTGACAGAAATTCTTGGTCCAAATGAAATTATAACAGATAAAATTCCAGTGTTGCATGGAAAAAGGTCATTGCAAGTATGATGATCTATGAAGAGACATGGAATCCTTGGGTATTATATCAGCGTAATAACACGGATCCTGAAGTCTCAGTCTAACCCCAGAAATCAATAGATCAAATTTTGTAAAAGGAAAGCAAGAAAAAAAGAGAGGAATATTGCTTTTTTTCTCTTTGTTTTTTTTTTTGGGGAGAAATAGGTATGCAAGATGAATGTAGCTTACGTTATGTATGTATGCAGGAATTACCATTCTTCATTGAATTGCAATGATGTATGATATAGAAATGATAATGTACATTTCTTTTTGCAATGGAAAAATGTGTATTAATGTATACAGCTGAATTGAAAGGAAGAAAACTAATAAAAAAATACTTAAAAAAAATATATTTCAGAATCATACGGCCTTAATTATGTATTTCCCATCATGAATATTATGTTTTAGCTTTAGGTGATCATTAGCACATATAATGGTTGGGACTACCTGAAGCCAACACTTTTTACTGATTCTAGGTTTCATGCCTCAATAAAGGAACATTTTATTGACTGTTGAGTTGTGACACTTGTACCTTAACTATATTGGGATAAACAGCCTTTTAATACCATTCATTGCCCATTCAGTTGCTCTTTTTCAGGCTCTTTTGGAATCCTTGTATTTTACATATGATGTTGCTGACCCAACTGACTCAAATCTTTTAATCTAAATTACTTATGTTTTATTTGATTTTTGGTGTGGAGTTACATGAATAAAACCAAACACAATATTGTTACATAGGATGAATTTATTCTTGATAAAGTCTAAACTTTATCAAAAATGAAAAGAAATTATCTGTCCCTGAAACAGATATACCGTTTAAGGGTATCTGAAGAAGATAGACATGCTCTGGCTAGAACAGTCATCAATTAGTTAAGTACACCAAAAAGACAAATAACCTTGTTCTTCTTTTTGTTTCGTTTAATTCCTTGCGTGACCTTTCTGCGGAGATGCTTTTGGTTTTGATTTGTTTATAATGCACACTAATTACTTTACCCTCTCACGGAAAACCTAAGGGACAGATGTATTTCACAGAGTAATTGTACGTTTCCTTGCTTGTCTTTCTTTTTCTACTTGAAAATAGACTCATTTCTGTTTATTTCGACACACAAGCACAATGATGCCCATCTTTGGAGCCATAATTTTTATTTAAACTGAGCGTAATCTACTTTTGTTATTGTTCTTCAAGTTTGCATAAAAAGGTTCCCACTTGGAGTTTTTCCCAACAAATCCGCTCTTTTCGAGAACATCTCACACCCTAATTGGTCAATCGAGTGTTGTGGGGCTAAGTTTGTTTTTATTTTGTCTATATTTATTTTGGAGTTTTTGAAAGTTTGTTTTCCTGGCTCTAAAAAGATGATAAAATAATGCTATTGTTTAACTCAGTATATTACCACGTCTATCAGACATAAAGAATAAAATACCGTTTATTGCATCAAAATGACTAGATACTGGAAAATACTCAGGACCACTGTTGGAATCCGTTTATTAGGTAGTACTAGTAATATCTAGAATGATGTAACTTCTTCCATCAGTAGATTCTATAACCTCTTTCGTCTGCTTCAAAGACATTTTTCTGCTGAAAATAAGGTAATGTACATTTAAAAAAAAGTAACTAAACCACTGACTGAATAGGAGTTCAATCCGTAAAGATTTTTTTTCCTGTGCAGGAAGTCTGCATTTTCTCTACTCGAACCCTCTAAAGGAAAAATATTATTGATTCTGAAAAGCAGTTCTCTACTACAGACTAATGAAATGTTAATACCAGGAAAACAAACAGAGTGCGGATCTGGACATGCACTGATCACTTGAAATGCTGTTCTCCCAGGCAGTAATGCTCATGCATTATAATGCTATTAAATAAAACACATCATTGTCTATTGAAAGACAGTTTGTGAGTAATTCATGTGATACATGAAATGTCACAGCCTTTTAAATGCCTTGTGTATATATGTACTCTATTTTTCTGGTAAGTGGGAATTTATCAAAGCTAGAACATGCTAATAGCTTATAAATAATAACAAACTGGAAAATGTGATGCTAAAAAAAACAAAGACAATAAGAAAAAAAAGAGAAGAAAACAGATCACAAGCTGAAAAAAGTCATATTTATTATATACACTAAATTGTGTATAAACTTTTCTTTTTTTTTTTTACATCATTACATTTTTTTTTCCAATAAAAAAACAATCTTCAATGGTCATGGGAAGTATATTACATTATTATTATAGATACTAATACAAACATTCTGCTGAATGGAGATGATAGTGGATTATTTTTTAATGAGCTGTGTTTTGAATTTTTTCACAGTGTTGAAAAACTCAACTCAACCCTAATTGCACAAGATTTCACCTTTTATCAGACAATAGACTATGTATTTGTCAACCAGACAAAACTAGCAGAAGATCTTACTTGGTCAACACCTTCAAATCCTGATCCCAAGACCTTTGGCCTTCACAATTATGTAAATGGCGTGACAGAATTATTGTCAGTCCTCGTGTTCAAGATCCATTCTCCATAAGGGGGAACTCATTCTGTTTTAGGCTTGTAAAAAGAACATCAAATGTAATCCCTCAGGATTAGCTGTATTTAATAAGTAAACAGCCTACTACTTGTATTTTGACCCTTAAAGAATACTTAAAGAGACAATGCCAACACCATAAGAATTATATCCATTTGTAATTGTGATGGTGATTATTGGTGTCAGCCATCTTCTCCCAGATTTGGGCCTGATGCCTGTTCACCACATTGATATTCCAGAAGTTAAATTTCTACATTAGCAATATCAATTTTGTCTTTATTTGGACATTGATAGAATGATGGGTTCAGGCTATTGGCACCTTCCAGATATGGATGAAATTGAATGTCTGCATTAGCAATATGGTAATGTTCTGTGTTGCAGATGCCTCAGCTACTTCATTTTGGTCAAATCACTCGAAAATCACTTAATGGTGTCAACAGTCTCCATATAGTTCCATAACCTTACAAATGGGATGTTGTGGTTATGTTGTTTAGCTATGAATATTTTTGAAATATAAAAATATATACCAAAGGAGCTACAGAATTATTTAGCATTGTAGCACTTGAAACCATTTTTTTGGTTAGTGGTATAATAATAATATTAGACTTGTGGTTATAATTGTCCCTCCAAGTCCGAATCCCTATGCTTTGGTTTGTACCCAATGGTCTAGTCAAGAAGCAAGTGGGGTAATGGCAACAGAAAATGCTGTAGTTCGGTGTTATCATTTTATCTTTTTTAGGCACAGAGGTCTACAATATCTCAATGTATTACTGTTTGCATGGTCACCTATCTTTTATGTGTGCTTATAAAAGACACTCAGATATCTCTCAGGAAACCATGCTATAGTGACAGGTTGAAATATTTTATGCTGTTTCATAATATATTCTAGGAAATGGTTAACTCAGTTAGGGATAACTTTATTGATTAAGATTTGTGTGGCTTTTTATAGACTTATCAGTTGTCTTTTATAAGAAATCAAGTTAATTATTTTTTATGTATTTAATAGACTGGGGATATTGGCTAGTTCTTCCATATATTGATCGTACAATCCCAAGAAGAAATACTTGTAATAACACATACAAGGTGTGAGATTACATGTAGCAAGAAAATATTGAACGGAACAACTTGTAAATAGGAAAGTAGTAGAAGTATGCCACCTTAAAATATCATCAACATGGACTAATCTTTTGCAGATCAAAGCTTACTGACGTTTACAGCTATGACGTGAGTGAAGTAACAAGTTGTAAAGGCAGATCAGAGAGAAATTTGTAAAATTGATGAGGATGTCCACTTGAATGTCTGGGTTGAAGATCAGAAAGCAAACAATAGTGGCGTGTCCATTTGCTGAGAGACAGACTCCATTTGCAATAGTTGCAAACAAAATTCATTAGTTGGAGGATTTAACAAAATATTTATATTATGGCTGTTGAACATAATGCATTATGGGTAAACCATCTGAACAAATTATATCCACTAAAGAATTTTATGCTATGGAGTAAGTAATAGAGAAAGTGCAAACCTTGCGTTCCATGAGGAAGTCTAAAATTACAAACCTAAATGGGCCATAGCTTGTTATATGTCCCGCGTGATCGCATCTTAACCATCTAGTAATGGTCTTCTATATCCAGGGATGCAAGCAGCTTGCAAACAGTGGATCATTGTACATGCTCATTGAATTACCTAGACCACAAAAGTAGACAAAAATTGAATTACTACATACCTCTAGAGAGCGACACCATCCATCTTTCTTTCTCTTTACCAGATCAATAATTTTGGACACCAAATGGAGATTGATGCAAAAATAGACATGTCATTAGCTTGGCTCAAAGCAGAAAAATTGAAAACATATCCTGAGATTTTCTCAGTGTGTAATCTAAAATTGAAGGTTACAGAAAGTGTAGAAGATCTGAGAAGGTAAAACCAGTCATGCCAATTTATTCCTGCAATCAGAATCTTTTTTTTTTTTCTAGGTGTGGTCCATGTTTTCAAAAAGCATTGAAATTGTCTAGGATTGAGATTTGCAGTATTTATACATTACAAGTTATCAGTCAAAAGTTTATGTTTTTTTATTGTACTTGACAGATGTCTGACTCCGATTCCGATTCATGGAGACTTAGATGGTATATACATTGTGTTTATTCTTTCCAAAAACATTGCATATATTGTATTTTATTTTCAGTTTCATTTCATTGTATAATTAAATATGCTTTAGTAAATCCCAATTCCTTCACCTCAGCTCCAGTGTTGGTCATCATCCTGCTGACTAATGGATTTCTCCTGAGGAGCTTCAATTGTTTTCTCTACTTCATGTGCCATAAACTGGAGATGACACCACCCCTCCTGCACTGCACAGGATCCGCATTGAACTCATGAAGAGCATCCATAAGACAGGAAGAGATAGGTGGGCCATGGGGACACATAGGTTTCTATTATGAAATTTGCATTTGCACAATTGGAAAAATTGTCTTTGACATTTCTTTTTTGTAATTTGTTGCCATTAATGTGTCACAAAAATATATATTTTTTACTTCTTTATACAAATAATTTTTTTTGCAAAAAATGGCATACAAGCCCAATCAGGGTTCTTCACAAATTGGTAAATGGTAAGGAATTCAAATTGAATGCAAAGTGAATTTCAACTTTAAGGCCAAAATAGCTGAACTATGCTTACAGTTCGGCTATTTTGGCCTGAGAATTGAAATTCACATTGCATTCAATTTGAATTCCTTACAATTCACCCATTTGTGAATAAACATGATATATGTCATTTCTTGCAACAATTAAATTGTATATAATGTAAAACAAAAAATATTCTACTTTAGCCCAACCCCAAAATGTTTGCATTAAAATTAAAACTCTGTATATATACACAATTGTAATTTCTAGCTACCCTGAACAGCAAGAAATACTACTGTTCTGAATTAAATATATGTGTAAGATGGAAAAAAAATGTTACACTCAAATGTTTAACAAAATGAAGTTCATATTTGTTAATGAAGGAGCTAATATTTACCTTTTTTTCTGCTACTTAAATGTGTTTTTATTTCCAAAATGTTTAACAAATTAACCCCTTAAGGACACATGACATGTGTGACACGATTCCCTTTTATTCCAGAAGTTTGGTCCTTAAGGGGTTAAAAAGCAAAGTTTATGTATTACACTGTGTTAAGGTGTGTGTTAGGTCACAAAATAACTGTATTTAAAGTTATACCACAAATGGCCAGAGGGATGAGCTATAGCATCTAGTAATATTACTGAATATAGCATCATGTATTGTATAATCCATATTATGCAGTTTGAACATTTAGTTATATTAAGCTCTATAGTGTGACAATATGACAAATAAAACATTTTAAAAAACAGCTCTGTCACTTTCTATCCTCCTTTTCCCCTGGTATTTATATGGGTCTCCCTAGCAGTCCACAACTCCTATCATTCTGTGTGGCAGTGGGACGATTACACCCATCTTTCAAAATGCACCACCAATAATATATTTGGAAAAATATAGAGGAAAACATAGGAAACAACACAGGACCAGTCCAAAATTAGAAAAAAAATTCACACCAAATTCTGTATTTAAAAATATGAGAAGCTTATGCTTACAGTATATTCTCGAGTACAAGTCGACCCGAATATAAGTCGAGACCCCTAATTTTACCCAAAAAACTGGGAAAACGTATTGACTCAAGTATAAGACTAGGGTGGGAAATGCAGCAGCTACTGGTAAATTTCTAAATAAAATTAGATCCCCCAAAAATTATATTAATTGAATATTTATTTACAGTGTGTGTATATAATGAATGCAGTGTGTGTGTATGAATGCAGTGTGTATGTGTGTGTATGAGTGCAGTGTGTATGTGTGTGTATGAATGCAGTGTGTGTGTGTATGAGTGCAGTATGTGATGCAGAGCCTTGGTGGGGGGTGAGCATTTTTTTTTTTTATATTATTATTTTAATAATATCTTTTTATATTATTAAAATGTTTATCTTATTTATTTTCGTCCCCCCTCCCTGCTTGATACATGGCCAGGGAGGGGGGCTCTCACTCCCTGGTGGTCCAGTGGATGGGCTGTGTAGGAGGGGGCTGGCAGAGAGCTGTAACTTACCTTTCCTGCAGCTCCTGTCAGCTCCCTTCTCTCTCCTCCAGTCCGGTCAGCTCCCCTGTAAGTCTCGCGGTCTGACTGCCGCACGGAGCGTTGCCACGGTAACCTGTGGCAACGCTCTGACCCCGCGGCTCTCACGAGACTTGCAGGGGAGCTGACCAGACCAGAGGAGAGAGAAGGGAGCTGACAGGAGCTGCAGGAAAGGTAAGTAAACGCTTCCTGCCAGTCCCCAACAGGACCGCCGGACTTGTAATGAGCCCGGCGGTCCTTGTCTGTATTATGGCAATGTAAGTTGCCATAATACAGACAATGACTCGAGTATAAGACGAGTGGGGGTTTTTGAGCACAAAAAATGATCCGAAAAACTCGTCTTATATTCGAGTATATATGGTAAATCAGAGCTCATGCACTTCTACACAAGCCGAAAGGTTTTTGGCCACTGCACGCCAGGTCCGTGGCATGCTCACCAGGGGGGAATTTCTACTTGCCTACTTTTCACTTGACATTGGGTAGTGGAAAGTGAAAATTTAGAGCCCTGCTTAAGTACACTCTTAATTTTGAACACGATGGTAATGTTAAGGATATATTAACAAATACAGCATACTTACCTTAAATCAGCAGTTTAGTTACAACAAAACGGGACAACATACATCTAATCAAGGATATACACGCTATTGTTGTAGCCCAAAAGGTAGAGGTCTGGAATATATTCCTTACCTTACTAATTCAATACACATGTAATAGTGGGCTAGGGAACAGTTTGTATTCGATTACCCTGATTACAGGTCACAGGTCGTATGTTAATAAATTCTGAAAGACTGGACAAGTGTCTCCATCTTGGATGGGGCAGTCCTGATTTAGGACTCCTTCCATGCTGACCTAGTTTGCCCCTTTGTG